GTTACAATGCTAGTAAATCACTTCACTTCTAACTAATGGCTCCTCACTTTGTCTGTACCACACTAGATTAAGACAGATGATTGAATATTTAAAGCCACTAGTTGTGATGTGTTGCCTCCCCCTTTCAATTCCTCATATAGCAAAACCAAATTTAAAATAAAACTCAATTACTTACCAAAATACCTTGTGTCGTCCATGGACTTAAGACTCATTTTTGGGAAACAGAGCAGTGTGCTGGTTTCACGCTTACAGTAGAAGCCCACCCTCGATGGTTCTAATCATTATCAATTGTCTAAAAAGTAAATGCTAATGTTACCAAGGCGGCTTACAGTAATTCCACCACTTAAGAAGGGTTAGGGTTGAAAAAGCCACGGGAGACATCGACATAATGAAAGAGATCGCAAAAGAATTTTCTGTGGTCCTAACTGCAACAGTCGATCAACATTCTAAAACAGTAAGAGGTAATCTAATTAAAGTATCATGCTGTATACGACGTCTTTATAAATATATCAAAGGAAAAAAGTTAAACCTCTTCCTCCTATCAGCACCTTCAACGATTTATCCAGGCCTTTATGACTTTAAATAACCATCCTTCACCAATTACACTGCATGTTCTTGAAAAGTTTAGGTCGGCTTTTACATGTGTTAATGGGAGTGTTTGAAACTATCCTGTATATGATTTTATGAATTATTGATACAGTTTAGGATATTTCATCTGCATAAGGAGCTGTGAAAAACTGTTTATTCTATACAATATACTTTGGATAAAACTAGCTGTCCTTGCGGTCTCCTGGGAAAATCGGATGTTAAATTCTATCTAGGGATTTTCGGAGTACTGTCCTCGCTTTTCACGACTTCCATTCACCATGATACTCTCCTTTCTGGCGGTAAATTTTTTATTCCTTTTCTTCCATAATTAAGCCTTCTTTGTGTGAGAAGACTGCATTTAATTTCAGTTATCATACTGATGTCCCTTACCCTGTTATTATGTTAAACAATGAATAATTCAAGGTTTCTGCCACCTCTTGTTCGGTCTACGTTGGGTGCAAATTTAATCTTAGTTTAAAATTATCTTCCTGGGCGCTAAATAAGCGATGCCAAATCGTTAATAGCTTAAGATATGTTTAATGGTCGAAGAGTATATTGAACCCGTTTTACCTACCTTGTAAAAAGGAACAACCCTATTGAGGTCTGACAGACTCAGTTAGCCCAAATATACAGGAGATGTTGGAATACATGTCTGGTGCCATGAATACCTCAAAATGATGAATCAACCCCTTTGTAATTAGGCAAACGCTCGTGATTGCTTCTTCTTGGACGGGTTAGATGGTCACTTGAAGATTTATACAGACTTTTTTAGATCAATTAAAAAATAATGAAAATCTAAGTACAAATTCACAAAAGTTTATTGTGTGCTCTAGGAGAAAAGAAAACCAGTATACTAAATAGATATTGAGGTTTGTTATGGAATGAAGGGTACAAAGTCTATCTAATCAGGGGCTTTCTACAAAAGAACAAAAGAAAAGCATATAAAATCAAAACAAACAGCACAAGCAGCACAATAAACCAAATCATAACATAACGAAGACGAAATTAAAGCAACATAAGGGCGAAGAGCCTTAAGCACATCCACAAAAGGCAAGGTGATAGGGTAACATGAGAGATATATGTTGAATGGACGTTTTATATTTTAAGAAAACAAAAAAGAGAGAAAAAAGAAAAAGTTGATTTTTAATATTCAGTATTAAATTGTCTTTTAAGTTATTTTTACCTGTCTTGACATATGATGGTTTGGTGGTAATTGATGCGAGTAAACTATCTCGTTATAATTCCTTCCTATTTCCTGGTTGGGTTTGTTTTCTCAAGGGGTGGCGTTAGAGCGGTGGCATAAGTCCTGACAGAAGAGGCATGAAGGTCTCACTAGTTAGCTTTAGCAATTTTTCTCATCAACTGAGGCTCTTGTAGTCCTTAGTTTAAATAATAGAGCAGATTGTCCTCCCTTTGCTGCAGTGTACAGTTTGGATCATAAAACTAAGAGGTTATCATTTCATTTTTATCATGGCGTGTAATTGTCAACTGCTGTGAGGACCGCAAATAGAAATTTTATTGTGGCAATGCTTTTTTTTTTATTTTTGCCAAATCAAACATATATAACATGCAGAATGCATAAACTGCTTATGCGATGGATGTTAGATTATTTAAAGTTCTAGCTAAAGTGTATAACGTGCAAATTAAGATGAGTTCTCTCATCATTTGAGAAGTTAAGATTTTCAAAGCCTGACTAGTGATTTCTGATGTATAGGAGATAAATGATATTTATGAATAATTAACAAGATATTCTAACATAACTTGTGGGGCAAAATCGATATCTTGTTGTATATGATGAGTTCTGTGTTTTAGAGTTGAATGACCGAACTTCACTGCAAGTATTTTTTAACTGTGGGCAAGATGACTCAGATTATAAACAGAAGTTTCATTAGTGTTAAAATGCGACGGTGCCCGGATTCATTGTTAAGAGCTGCTTGATTGACAACATAGCACAAATCATCAAACCCTCTAGTTACAACAAGTATTGATGTACGAGTTGTGTCTATGAAGTGTTGATTTTTTAGTCTTATGACTTTTGCCTGATGTTGTGGTTTAATTTGTTTCAATAGTGGTGCTATGATGATTCGTTTTAGAAAAGCACAAACATTTCTTTTTTATAATACGAGATATTAAATTCCTGAGACCATATCGTCACGGAATAAGTAAACTACGGGTTGAGGTGATATTTGTTATCTTATTCACGAGCTACTGGTATTGACAAAGTCCTTAGGACTATTTCACGCCTTTCTTTGCGAAAGAGTATCAATCTATTCACAAATAATCTTTATTTTCGATCTGTTTTGGACTGGTTTTATTTAATTGGATAAATTGAGCAGTAACTTTTCTCAACTTTTTAAATAAAAAGATGGTGAGTTACCTTGAAAATTCTGCACATCAGCATAGTCAGCTTTAAAAGCAAGCCTTTTAGTTCACTTTAAAAAATAGTGATTATGAAAGGAGGCTTGATGCGCCTCTGAACTCCTGACCTTTGCTAACAGTGAAACATGACAACATGGATCTAAATGAGGCCCGATTCTGCCTCGTCAACAGAAAATTTCTAAGAGGGTGCCATGAAAAGAGAGGCAACTCCCTTCCTGTGAAGCAATGAATTGCTTTTGTCAAATTTCCCAAATTATCTACATTCAAACAGCTTTCCTACTAATTAGTTGATTTGGTGGCCAGGACAGGACTTTATTTCTAAAGTCTCACATGTACAAACGGTCAGAAATCACCACAGTGAAGTAAAATTAGACGTTTATTCACAGGGAAAATCACAAGCAAATTCCACGTGTTGCAGGATGAAATTATTATTAAAATGTCAGACCTGAGGGGAAGGATAACTGTAACCATGGCTCAAATTGAGGTAACTTGGAGCTGTGGACAGACCTGTACAGACCTGTAGAGTGGTTTCTTCCACCCTCTTGCACAGACTGAAAAGTTCAGCAGTAACACAAATTTTGATATTCCATAACAAACGGAAGTGGGCAATAGCTAAATATGTTTTATCCACAAATCCAGAAAATAACTGAAATCGTGGGATTTTGCTCATTTTATTAAGAATTTGTATTATTATTATTGTCAGGAAAGGGAGCAGTGTGTTGACATCTTACAGCAAAGCCTCATGTTTCTAAAGTGTGACCTGTTTAAAGTGTCCTCAGGCTAAAGTCAGGAGAACTTTGAGCAAAGCATGAACTCCAAAGGTAATTATTGCCTCACTCACAACACATGACATCAGCATGCTGTTTTCCATTTCTGAAAGCTGGTGTTGTTTGTATTCTACTGAGCATAGCTGCGCTTTAATCAATTATTCTTTGATTGTACTCTTCTGGAGGTACACTATAGTGTAGTATATTCATCATTGAATCATGATGTTTTTGGTTTATATGCTAAATGACATTTCATACACATCTAATCAGATAAAAGTAATTTATCTACCTGATACTGAGCCAGACTTTCTTAAAATCCAGGAAGTATTCACAGTGCTTCACTTGTTCCACATCTTGCCATGTTACAGCCTGATTACAATGGACTCATTCATTTTTCAACTCAAAATTCTACACACAATGCAGTAAATGAACATCTAGAAAGAAAACACTATCAGTCATGTATTATGTATGTTGACAAAGAACAGAAAAAAGGCCACCAACATCCAAGAGAGAGCTTCTGAATGTCTCAAGAAACCTGGAGAACTCTTCTGAAGACTGCTTAAAGAAACGACAAAACAAGCTTGCCTAAGAGAGTTCAGGCTTAGTTGAAAGAGTAAAGGTGGCCATGCCATAACAAATACTGATTTTCATGCTCATTAGAATTGATATAAAATATAAATACAAATACCAGCCTTACATACCACATTTTCATATTTTTTGCACAAATTCCAATAAATCTCTGGAGCAATTTTCCACTTTCCTTGGAAAATATAGACTTTTGCACAGTAATGCATGGTCCTGCAGTCCTTCTTTGAGCAAGGAAACATTTTGTTTGACATTTGCTAAGATACTTTGATCAAACGGATATATTTGCGTTTTGGCCCTTTCTGCCCTTTTCCCAGACAACTGCTCCTTCCACCTTTGCATACTCTCTTTAAAATAGCACCCAGAGGGAATGACTTCACACGATCTTTCTCCTGGGCGCTCATGGGAAAAAATGTAAACAAGCATTAATTAATAAGAGCTAGGACATAACATTATTTATGTTTTGTGAGAGGACCTTTTTAAGAGAGATAGCGAGGTGTAAATTATCTGTAAGATCCTCTTGGCTCTTCTTTTGACCTTGAGATTCCACCTGTCTGCAAAACCTGCTTCACAGCAGATTTTATTACAGCCATGAGGGTACTCACTGGGTGACGGAGGTGGTGGTGAAGCCGCAGAATCGGACTCATTTGTAGGTGTATCTGATTTGGACGTGACCTTTGATCCCTTGACAGATGACAGAGGACTCTTCTGTGTTGCATGCTGGATGCTCTTTCTAAACGATCGCAGCCTGCCCAACTTTGTGCCGCCATCGGTCGACAACTTCTCATCGCTCTTGATGGACCCGTTGCTCTTGAAGGACGCTCTGTCCTCGCTGGGGTTCTCGGTAGACTTTTCCATCATTTGCGACATCTCATTTCATTTACTACCCAACTGCGAGTGAAAATGTAAAAGAAAAGTTGTAAGGACAAAATGTCTCTCTGTGCTGTGCCTTTGCTCTACAAGTGAGCATGCGTGTGAGTGTTTAATCATTGTGACTGCTGAGAAAATAAATGGGTGGAGGAATTTTGTTGACTAATAACACATGAGCCAGCAGTTTTCATAAGCACCCAAAAGACACTGCAGATTAAAATTAAAACTGCTGTATCTGCAGGTACAGGCTGAACTAAAGAAATC